CTAGGCATCGGGTAAAATGTTTAATGCTCTGGTTTAGATTTGCATCTCTCATCAACCGACCTCTTCCTCCTCTTGGCAACCAAAAACTGGGCTGATTTCCACTGGCTGAGAATGTGGCTGTGTACATCTGCATCTTCTGATCTATCAGCACAAAATTTGTGCTGCTCCTGGTTTTCTCATATTAGGGCTACCTACAGGGCAGACATGGGCTGCTGAGTGTTCACCTTCCAGCTCAGGGGTGTCCAAGACAGGGATGCAGCAGAAGGAGCTTGGGTAAGTAATGTTCATCTCGCTTTCTCAGCTCAGCACAACAGCACAGGATTGCAACAAGCTTAAGTCTCCTGGTAGAGAAGCAAACCCAATAAATAACCCTGCGAAAGTCTCCACATTGCTGCCAATGACTCCAAATAACTCCTTGAGAGAGAGGAACCCAAGTATGGCTGCCAGAATCCGTACGTACACCAAATAATTTCCCAGGAGGCTTTTATCCTCTTGGTCCATATTTTATTTCTGTACGTCTCCCTGTTCCAGTGTTGCTAGCACTCAGTTCTGCTCTCCTCTCTCTGAGGAGAGCTGCACTTTTGCTGAAGGTGGAGATTGAGTCCGGGAAAGCTTTTCACTGCAATAGAGCCCAGAAATCACAAGTGCAGTTTGACTGATAACAGAGGTTGGGGAGCACGTGCTGTGTTTGCTGTGTAAGCATGGCTCCTCCGGTAGCTTAGGGTTATCTGCAGCAAATGTTTCCCCTGTGACTGTGAGAACTCTCCAGTACTTGCTAGTTGCTCACCCAAAACCTTTGGCTACCAGTAAGGTTGAGGGTAGAGCCCAGCCTGCCCTCCATGCTCTACCCACAGGAGGGTTGCTGATGGGTGGGGGGAAGCTGGAGTGTTTCTACTCTGACCCACTCAAAGCATTTGCTTTTTTCACCTCTGGCTAAAGGTCCAAAAATGAGCCACTGGCTTGCTGGGTACAAAGAATCAATATTTACCATGGTTCAGTGGTGTTAAGTGCCCACTGATTAGGGATCGTTTGGCAATGAAGGATTGTGTCCCAGGTCAGTGGCTGACATGAGCCAGTTTATGTGGAACAAGGGATGATGAAGCAAAGCAGAAAGCTGAACTAAGAAGCGGACACTGCAGTATTGCAGCAGTGAGTGCTCCCCATCAGGTGAGCAAAGGGAACATGCAGAGCTGTGCTTTCCAGCGCGTGTGGGTGTGGGAAGAAGCTGGAAAGGACAGAGGAGGTTTGAGGGAAATAGAAAAGTGAAGATAAAGCAACTTGATGTTCATCAGCCCCTCGGTCCCAGTTTTCTGCATCTATGACCAGTGCTTATAGAACCCAGTTATCGTTATCCACAGCTGTTAAGTGGGTTGCAATTGGTCATTCCTGCCTCGGTGCATTAATAAGGAGCTTTGAATTATTTTAAGGCACAATGACCTGAAAAGTGACTGCTTGCCATTGGGAAGGAGAACGGCTGATGGCCAGATCCCATCTGCCTTCAATGAACCAGGAAGACGATTTCTGAGAGAAATGCTGACACAGACAGATCTGCTTATTGAAAGCAAGGGACAGGGGACATGCCTGGATCAGTCCCGGTGCAGTGGGAGGTATGCAGTCAGGGATGCTGGTCTGCTGTCTGTAGCAGCATGGTGCATTTGGTCCGACCAGCTGTTGTATGGTACCGCCACAGTGATGAAGGGACACGCACACAAGAGCTGACACACCTCCCCTAGACCAGCTTTCCCAGAGTGTGCTAACGCAGAAATACCTCTCTTAAAGCTGGCTAAACCCAGGCCTGCTAAGTCCTGGCAGGGAAAGATGCTTCTCCACTGATCTGGATGACTGGAACAGCAGCTATGGGCACCAGTGATGGTGGGTAAGAGCTGGGTTGGTGGGCTCTGCAACTGTGTTTCACCAATTCCCTCCAGTTTTAGCACGAATCCTCAGTGGAATGGCTGCCATGGGAGGCAGCAGGTCATCTGAAGAAAATTCCCTTCATGAATGTGCCCAGGGGAAAGGTCTCTTCCGTCTCACTCCCCACACCAGTACTCCAAGCTATTTTCCTAGCAGTTTCCCTAAACAGACAGCTGTTTCCCTCCTCATTTCCTGCAGCATTTTGCTAGCCTCCGGATTACTGGAGGCACAACTTTCACTTTTACATTTGGAGACTGTTTTCCTGTGGAATGTCTTTCTCTGATTCTTTCTACACACCTGGAGAAAGGGAGAATCCTTTTCTGCTTGTCCCCAAGACTGTTTCTTGATACCTGTGACCAATGACCGAGCAGAATGGTTTCCAGCAGAATGCAGTGCACATGGGCTGACACAGCGTAGCTGCTCCATTGCTCTGGTTGCTGTGCCATACATGATCTGTTCCTGCCTGTTGGCACGCTGTTGGCAGTCTGTCTTCCCTCTGCTGCTGTATTGTTTGGGCTTCTGGGCATCCGCATTGGCACGCTGATCTGTGAGCTCCCTCGTTTTGCAATCTGTACTCATCTGTTGGAGCTTCGCCTACCCCTCACTGGTGAGATTATCACGCTTTTGCACTTCGGTGTTGGCACGCTGTTTGGGTCCAGGCACCCTCACTTTGCAATTCGTTGGCTGTTGGTGCTCTGGCTTCCCTCCACTGACGTGCAACTGAAATCCCTTCAGTGTGCCACTCGCCTGCCAGGCTCCCTCTTGGCAGTTTGCTCCTCTGCAGCCCCAGCTGCTCAGTCTGTCCCTCCACAAGCTTTCCTGTTATTGTTCTCTTACCCTGCAAAACTCGTACTGGAAATACCCAGAAGTTGGCGCTTGTTAAGATAAAAGTTAAAGCGCAGCACTCAGAAGGGAAAAAGCGTGTTCACATAGTGCCATCGCATGGACAACAGAGGCATCAGTTGTGAAGAAAAGAACCCTTTTTACTCATGATTCAATTTGCTTTATATTTTCTTTTTTATTGGTTACCTCTTCAATCATAGCAGGCAGCTAATCTGTGTTACTCACAGAAAATTTCCGTCCATGTCTAAGGAGTTGGGTTTTTTCCATCTGTCTCGTATTTCAGTTTTTGCAGATATAGAATGTACAGAATCATAGAATCATAGAATGGTTTGGGTTGGAAGGTACCTTAAAGATCATCTAGTTCCAACCCCCCTGCCCTGGGCAGGGACACCTTGCACTAGACCAGGTTGCTCAAAGCCTCATCCGGCCTGGCCTTGAAGACATCCAGGGATGGGGCATCCACAACATCTCTGGGCAACCTGTCCCAGTGCCTCACCACCCTCTCTGTGAAGAATTTCTTCCTGATATCTAATCTAAACCTCCCTGTTTTCAATTTGTACCCGTTACCCCTTGTCCTGTCACTACAGGCTCTTGTAAAAAGTCCTCTCCCAGCACCCTTGTAGGCCCTTCAGGTACTTCAGAATGCAGAAGGGAGCGGCATCTGTACGCTTCAGGCCCTGCAGATAGTGGGGTTTGTTTAGATCTCAGCTTTCACTTAAAGAGAGGTAAACAACTAGTCCTAACTCATCTCAGTTAGCTTTGCAGGAACAAGCTAGTGCTGGAGAACTACTTGAAACTAGTGTGGGGAGCTGTAAAGCTCTTCAGGCACCTTATTAGGCTGCAAACTCTGGGATTTGCCTATACCACATAAGTAAGGGCAGAGCAGAAGAATTACGTCTCTCACTGCATGATCTCGCTCTGGTACTGGCAGCAGTATAACAATATTACTAGC